TTGTAGGTGGCTTTTGTTATTTGGCACTCTTTAAAATATTTATGAAGTTATAAGGGAATAGTTTCTCTTTGGTATGGTTAAAAAAAAATAAACACATGAAACATGGCTCTTGAACAGGAGCCATCAGACATTGTGTGTTGCAGTTCCACCTAATGTTTACCTATGAAATATTTTAAATACCTTTTATGATTGTCATAGTTGCTGCTTCAGTCCTGTAGCGTTGCCATAGGATGGGGGAAGGGTTCAACGTGAGACAATTGAAATGGTATTCATATTTCTTTTAGGATAATATGCTAATTTTACTTTGCATTGTTTAAAAACAGAAACATCAGTTGTTCATTTGTTTGGTTTGGGTTTCTGTGCTTAAAGAAAGCCCCAAGGCCACCAGAACTTGCAGTGTTGGGAACGTCACAACCCCACCCCCTCATCCGTCTATCTGATATTTTGACAATAAACCCAGATACAGTGATAAAGTAATTATAGGTTGTTTTTGGAGACAAAGAGGAATGCTTTAACAGGGAAGCTGAAACTTGATAATTTAGTGTTGTTGCTTTCTCGCGTGGACTGTCTCTATTTCAGAATGTGAAGTATCTCATCACCCTGCATCCTTCCAGTTTTTGGTTTCTGCCTTTGCCTAATTAGGCGAGTTTGCAAAACAAGAAAACACCGGTCACCAAAGCCAGTAGGACAAAGTTAAATCTGCTCTGAGTTCCTGCAGATACATGACCTGGATTTACTGAATACAGAAACTTCTTCATGTTCCGCTGAAACTCCTCCTCTTTCCTGAGGAGATTTATCACAAAGTCTCTCTGCTTTTTCCGGAATGCTGTAGTGTTTGAAATGTTTCTCGGCTGTTGTGTATCTCTATGTATAAATTCAGATTTTATATTCGGCATTAATCATTCGTGTGCAAGTTGTTTCCTTTGTCAGTTCAAGAGAGGGGAATTTCCTTGTATGGTGTAAGGATGAGGGAAGAGATTCTCTTTGATCCCTGAAGCATTGGACATTAGAAAACAGAAATATTATTAATTTAATGAGAAAACTATTTTGTCCATGGCGCTGTTCTGCTGGTTGGCTTTAATAGGTGGTGAATATATCCTTAGCATTAAAATAGTACTTGAACTCCTTCTATCGTTAGAGTCACTATTAAAAGGTGTCCCTGCCCAAACTTAGCTGTTTTAAAGGGGTTTTTTAATGTCGTTTAAAAAACCTGTATGCTTGAGGGGAAAAAAAAAAAAAAAATCAGTACTTCAATTTTAGATTAGTTACAGCATATCTGTCTGTTAGTTGTAGTTGTTTGCAAATGGCCTTTTAAGAGTTACTTTGTTGGGCAGTACCGTTCCAGACCAAAGGTCAGGGTCATAATACTCATAATATCTGGTGAGTCATAGAATTGTCCTGGAATCCAATTCTGGAAGACATTTATAGGACATTGCCAGTGTCTGATCCAGTGGAAGGTATTCCAGCTGGGGGAGAAAAATGTATTCGCCTGCCCTTTTTCAGCTAGGTTCGTTGCCCTCTTGCATACTGTGAATCAGTGTTACGCATTTGGGCATTGTGATGTGTTGTCCGCTAAAATGCTCTTAAGTTGTAAATTGGTTTCTGTGAGCCTTTGGGAAAGCATCTCATTAATAAGGGAAGGTTTTTTTATTATACCAGATATTAATTTCATTACCCTCAATCACGAACAGAATCTTTTATGATGTTTATGAGCCTTTTGGTCTAAAGTGTTTCTTTGCTGAATGAGGCCCCTGTTTCAGTTGGGCTATCAATGAGCAATAGGTCATCGCTGGCACCAGCCCATGCAGAATGCTTCAGAGGCTGTGACAGTCCCTGTAGTACGCAGATGTGGGATAATGCGATGCCCCCAAAATTCTCAGTCTTAATTCCAAAACTGTTGATTTAACAACCGTGCTGGGTTTGCTTAGTTTCTGCGCCGTGTGTGAAATCTGCCGTGCTTTGCGCTGGACTGGCCACTGAAACGAGGGACAGATGCTCTACCCCAGATTGCTGTTGTACCTTTAGCTCTAGCAGTGGTGGGCGTATACCCGCCCAGTCGAGGTAACCTAAATCCTTGGACTTTCTAGGTGTGCAGGCAGTTTAACTGATGTTCTCAGCACTACTCAGGAGCTACAGCCCTTCTGCATAGTCTGTGTCAAAATGAAATGTATTGGAGGATCTGTTTTTCCCTGCCCAGTTGATCTTCTTACAGTTCCAGTGAGTGATTGGGGGAAGAGGAAGGGAAGAGCCTGGGTGGCAGTCCTCTGAGTTTTTAGCTCTGTCTTTCTTGGGAATACCTTCTGTGCCTCTCCAGTTTGAGAAGAGCTTGCTGGCATAACTATCCGTTTCATTTTGGTACCTTCCCAAATTCTTGACCTGAATGAACCAGAATGCTGCCGGTTACCGATGGTACATGCAAAAATATAATTTTCTTTGTCAGTTTTGATTTTACCAATGCTCCTTTTCTTTTGATTGCCTTCTGGGCTTTCTAAGGTTAAATATCTATTATTTCTGCACACCTATAACAATCCTTTATATGTATCTCTAGTCTTAAGTTTCAATCTCAATGTGTGCAGGTTCCTGTCACTTCTTTACTGTCCTTTGTCCCTCATTCTTCTTGTTGCTGTTTTCCTGACCCCTGTGGCTCTCTAATACCCTATTCAGAGAGGCTGTCCAGAAGAATAAAGAATGCAAAGAGATCTTACGTGCAGAAAACAGAAATCAAATTCACTGCTATTCAGATGCTTGTTCTCATCCTGAATTGGAGTGTAGTTGGTTCAGCACTGTCTGCAAAAGTGTGTTGAACAGGGAAAGCTGGAGCATATTTTGTAAAATTAAGTATGCTTAGCAAACAGTCTGATTCTTCTACCAGTTTTCAAAATTCTCGTCTCTTACATGGGTAAAAATAATGCTACTTGGAAATCATTGAGTTAATTGTGTTTCAAATAGTGTCTTAGAGAATCAAGTCCTTGGTTTCACCTGCAGTTTTCTGAGGCTTTTCCGTAGCGTTTTCTTCTTTTCTAGTATGTTCTCTCCTGTTGTGTAAAGAATCTTTCAGCAGCATAGGAAACGAATACATAGCACTATTAGATATGTGAAGTAATTAAGTGAAAAATACCTACTGAGAGTGGTATAAGCTGTTATCTTTAACACAGCGAGGGCATGGTTTTAAAATTGAAATATATTTTTAAGTTAATAGCCCTTTTACAGTTAGCTTCACAAGATATCCAAGCTTTTGAAGTAGAATTGCTCCTACTAATCATTAATAGAAAAGAATTATCAAATGTAATCACTGATATGTAAATGTCAGGGAATATTAATGTCTAGTTAAAGTTTATAAAATGTTTATAGATGACTGTATTACACAATTCTAGATGAATTAATTGGGTTCTGGGGGAAGAGGTGGTGTCGCAGGGGAGGGCAGTGCTGTATGAACATTTCCCTCCGTCGGTGTGCCCGTTCTGCCCTGAAGGGAACCCGTCTGCAAGCCAGACTCGAATCCAACCCTGCTTGACGTCATGGAGAATTTTTTCTATTTCCTTTTGTGTGGTGATTTTTGTCCCACAGTTTGTTCCTTTGTCTCAGGAGGAAAGGGGTTTCCATTGTCAACTAGTTTGTTGTTGTGGCATGTCTTAACAAGCTTTTCATTTTCTGGTGATAGGTGGAGGCCTTAGCAATGCTGAAATAGCGAATGTATTTATTATTCTCTACATAGTTTTAGCAAGTGAATAATTTAGGTACATTTTTATCACATATTTGCAGAGGCACGTACATTTGAAATTAGATACAGTGCCTTTTGTTTTGTTGCAGGGGGTGTGGTATTGGTAGAAGTATCACAAATAAGCGAAGTTATGGGAGGTGATTGTTTTTGTGGAAATGTGTGTGGCAGGTGCTCAAAGTGCAGTATTCTGCTCTTATTTCCCACTCTTGTGGAAGTTACATAACATGTAAGCATCTTTTAGGTCTGTGCTCTCAGTCTTTCTCTCAGTCTTGTTTTTATATCTTTATTAATTTATTTGTGTTTAAGGCCAAGTAAGCATTTTGTTCCTGTTCTTAGAGTTTCACTGTAATTGTGGAAAACACTTAAGTGAGCATTTCTCTTGTTAGCCAGGAGCCTTAAAGCATATCACCAGTCTTGGCGCCAGGCGTGGGTGATAGTTCTGTTTGGATGAAGAGACCTTAAATAGTTTTTCCTCTGTGCTTTAAACATAAACAGGCTTTTGCCTAGGAGATGTGGTGTTCATCGTCCGGGTTTTGTTCTATTTCTCTTCTAACAGGCATACCTGAAATATATGGGAAGAAACAAATCCTGGTTTCCTTTACTGTCTGAGTTGCTGGTGTCCTGCTTCTGCTTTTGATGAAGGGTCTTATTTTATGGGCAGTTGTGATCCTGTGTTCTCAAGCAGTAGTTACTATAAGGAAAAAGAGAGATTGAGCTTTATTATAGTATTAATGGATTTATGCCTTTTGGGTGAGAGAGGGCTGCTTTAGTTCCTTTATCTGGAAACAGTTCCTTTGTGAAGCTGGAAAAGTGGCAATGCTCAGATGACTCTATGGTGCATTTTGAATTTCACTGTAGCTACTTCAGCTCCTGCTAATACTCTGTGCAGAAAGGCAGTTATTCATATGGAGCCAAATAAATTGCTGTCTTCTTGAATGGTATCAATTTTGAATTGTGAGACATGTAAAAAACCTTTGCATAGGTGAGGAAAGAGGTGGTCAGCTTGAGTTCGAGATTAAGCAGAATACTGCTAGTGCATTCAGTAGTGTCTCTTTGTGCTTGCGTGTGTGAATTGCATTATCAGTGATTCTGAGTCTTATTGAAAAAGCTTGAGTATTTGGCATAAAATCCTGAACAGAACTTGCACGAGAAGGATGCTCACTGGAACAACAGAGCTTACTCTGCATCTCTTCCAAAATTAAGATGGTTTATGTGTTGCACTTCCTTTGCCTGAATGGGAATGACAAGAATAATTTAAGACTTTTTGTGTGTGTTTCAGATTGTGCAGTGAATGTCCATAAGAACTGCAAGAGTTTACTGGCTGAATGCAGCAGCATCAGACCTAAGGTGGGTTTTTAAATTTGTTTTTCATTTCTAATAACAATGCTTGACATTGACGAGTTTAATTTAGTGTGTATTTTAGTTTACATCTGTACAGAGTCTTGCCCTACGTCTTCAAGACATTGAATAGTTATTAACTTGTTATTACAGTAATTTATGACAATACATTTAGAGAAAATAAAGTGAAACATTTTATTGCTGCACTAAAAATTACTTACCATTGCTCGCGTTTGTCAGAACTGTGACTAACCCCTATGAGAATGCTCGAACCTATCACTTTTTTGGGGAACATAATTGAATTATAGGGTATGTCTGAATTTTATGCCACTGTATTTTAATAGGTTGTTCCATCTCAGAGCTGATGGCAGAGGGTGAGGGGTGGAGAGGAATTTGGTTATAACAGCTGTGTATTATTTACAAGCTGAGCAATGCAGAATAAGTGATTTCATTTTTGAACTGTGATTAACTTTATATCTTGCTAAGCTGTTACTTTTTTATCTGTGTCACTGTGGTGCCTGTGATTACATGCGAGGTCACAGGTTGGTTTCAGATAGCTGTCTATCTGTCCCGTTTTTTATTCTTGCTGGTGGTTTTGAAAATCATTTCCTGCTCCTTATAACTAATTATACTTGAGGGAGTTTTAGTTTGTTTTAACCTGCAAGTGATGATGATTTCAGAGACTGATAGCAGATTGGGGAGTACCATGATGGGGAAAAGAGAGAGCAGAACATCTCAAACCTGGGCAATTGGAGGTTAGAGGAAGTGCTTTTCAACCGTTGGTGATTTAGAATGTAACTCTTTTGAAGGCAGAAATGTTCTTTTGGGGTTTTTGATATATACTTTTAAACTTCTCAAGACATTGTGCACTTTCCTTTTAAACTGAAAAATTCACTTGCTCTGATGCTTTCATTTCCGCTCTTTACCATCTCCCAAACTTTCATGGTTGAATCGGCCCCTACAAACCACTCCTGAAGAGAGCAGAGAAGGCGCGGCAACGCAAAATGATACAGGGAATGAAGTCAGAAATGAGATCCTCAAAGTGAAGCGAGACCCCCCAAAAGCCATTTGTTACAGACTGTATTACTTACAATTTATCCAAGATGCAAAGAACTTAAGTATCTCAATGAATTGTAGTATCCTAATGTTGTAAGAACGAGAAAGTTGTACAGATTACCAACGATGCAGCTTTAAATGGGCAGTCTAAATTTTAGTTGAAACTGGCTGGGTTAGTTTAGTTAGTGTTGCCATAAACTAAATGGCAACAAAGTGTAGGTGAAGACTGTCTGCCTTAAATTTTGCTTTCTTTTAATAAATTATTTATGATCATAGCTTTAATTCAGCTGTAACTTCATTTTTTGGTTCTATTTCAGTCTGGTTTATGCTTGATGGGGTTTTTATACAAAGTGTCAATATCTATATGCCATTCTTCTGGAATGTGAAAAAATCAAAACTGTTACTGTGTCAAATCTTCTATATTTTCAGTATACAGCTTCATGTACAGTTAGTGTTATATGATAGGAAAAACATAATTCATTTTGGACTGAAAGTTTGGTGTGTATGTGTAAGAATATTGTATTTTTTCCTATAGCAGAAAGATTTGCAGCACAGACCTTCTGGATCTCCACAAAGTTCGCCCCAGTGCATTTCCCCAGGTTTGTACTAAAGAATGATTTCTGTGCTCAAGGCTTATCTGTTCAATTGTATTTTTTTTCTTTAATATGTTTTAAAGGCTATACACAGTGTGTTATTGAAGTATAGAAAAGGTCTCTTTTAATAAGATGGCTTCATTTTTTTTTCTACTGGGAATGGCTTAGAGGCTCCTAGCAATCTCCTGTGTGTTTTTATCTTTTTATCTTTTTATTTTTCTTTATACCTTCTTGCTGTGTAACCTCAAAATATCATGGTGAAAAGGGATCAATAAGCTAGTTTTTCATTGATTGTCTATTCTCTGGCCTCTGAAAAGACTAGAACTGTGAACTTTGTTTTACATCAGATTTTCATAATTGTCTATTTAAAACTTGCCTGCAGCTAGTGGTTGCTAGAAATCTCTAAGACAAGCTAGCACTAATGGTCTGAACATAAATCTTTGAAACAAAGGAGGAAAAAGGATATGGGAGAAAAAAAAACAAGAGGAAAGAACAGCTCTATTGCAGCGCAGGCATTGAAATAGCTTTTTGCTACTGGAAAAAGACCATCATGGCCACAGGTGTATGATTTAAATGGCATTTTAATTTGTAGACATTACGAGGTTTGCATTAACAGAACAGGCTTCTTGGCTCTCAGGTGATTGACCCTAACTAGAGCAGAATTCTTTTCTGCCTTGCAGTTGGTCCGTTTGGTTGCTTTGATGGCTGTAAAAAACACAGCTGACATGAATGTCGGAGTGTTGCTGTGAGTGTTGCATGTATTTTTGTTAGCAATCATTTGACTTGCATTGCAAGATGTACTTCTTTATGAAAGAATCCTTACAAAGAGGTAGCGCAAATGGAATAATTGTTACAAGAAGGTAAGTGGCTGTTTGCATTACCAAGAATGGTTTTGTGCATTTAGGGGAAAGTGCAGAGTCTAAAATAGGAAACAATAAGGAATTATGAAAATAGGAAAAGTTGGCTGTAGGGCTTGTCGTTGAAACAGCTCTGTGGTATACAGTCTGGTCTGGTGTGATAGGTTAACAACGATCGATGTGGACTCTCAGCAGTGCGCAGACAGTGCTAATTGAACTCAGAAAATGGCTTTTTGTTGGTGCAGACTCTGCTAGGCAGCCAGTACTTATTTTCCATAGTCAAAAGCAGAAGCTGGAAGTTAAAGGAACAGCTAATAGCATGGGCATTGTATGTCTTTACCCACAGTATAACACTGCAGTGCCCAGCAAAAAAAAAAGCCAAAGGTATTGTGTCAATGTAAAAGAGAAATACCTTTTAAGAAGGGTACAAACTGTGCTGTTTGTGTCATCGTCGTCCCCCCCCCCATCCCTCTCCCCATGTTTGGCCTCTGGAGATTTTTAGATTTGACCTACCATTGTGGAACAGAACTTTATGTTCTTGGCTTGTGGAGCATAGAAAGAACTTGATGGCTGATGATTTCAATACTTCCCCAAATGGGAATGGGAGGGCATTTATTATTAAGCCTTTGCTTAAGAAATCCACCTTTACAAATCTTGCTAATGTCTACTTAGTCTCATCTTTCGGGACAGTGGGCTTGGAGCTCATCACTTGAGTGATGGAAGAGACTCGGTTTACCCAGTTTGTTGTAGACTAAGAATGTGCTCTGCGTGTAGCCAAGAGATTTCAAATAGCTATTGAGAAAGGTATTTCCAGCAGGAAATGATGTTGTGGTATGATTTCTATTAAATGTCATTGATGAAACCTCCCCTGCAGTCCTAATACAATTCTAGTAAACTGTTTCAAGGAAGATGAAATGAGAGACAAGCAGGCATAGAGTATGGGATATCAAGAAATGTGGAAAAACCTGTTTTATGAGAAGAAACATGAATACCTTGATTTAGCTGTCTTCGGTTGAGCAAGGCAGAAGTGAAGGGACAAATGATTGTTAGTGGAGGTACGCTGGGGAGTGTAGACTAAGAAAGGGGAATTTTTGAGAATGGGTAGACACCAGTGTTTTTACAAGAAAAGTTGCAAATTGGCGATGCATAAACCTTGGCTGGGAACTGGAGACCCTCTTAAACTGCTACAACAGCATGGTCCTGAAGCAGCCTCCCAGACACAGGACTGGAAGAGGAGCTTCCTTGCAGTGGCAGAGTCCGGGGTTCAGGTATCCATGAGATCTCTTCCGCTCCCATGTCCTTAAAAGCACCTTGAAAAAAGGGCAGCCAGTGATAACTTTTAAAGATTGTCTGTCTGATTCTTCATCTTTGACTTCCCTGAAGTTCCTTTTTTTAAAAGGATGTATTTTGTCTGCTGTTCCTTATCATTCATTACAGACATTAGTGCTAAATAATTGTATCCATTTTTTATAAGTCTATTACAGGCTTCCATGTATTGTATAATAGTGATTAAAGTTTTAAATATCTTTCCAGTTCACAGTCTGTCTAGATTTAAAAAGCATTAAAAAGCTGCAGTATTAAAATTAAATTTAGCTCTGGTATCTATTACGTTCAGCGTGTGTGCATGCAGATATAAATCACTGTGTAGCAATAAGCATTGCAAAGAACTTGTGGTTTTTATGTGATCTCAGATTTTTCTTGTTTGCCATGAAATGTTCTGTGCCCTTATACGGTAGGGTGTGAATAATTGTGTGTAGGTTCTGGTGTTTTACTAAAGGAGAAGATACTTTGCAATTTCCACACTAAATGGGCACAGTAGGGACCAATTTCCTGCACTTCAGACCTGCTGATTTAGCCAATACAGTAAGTTAAGTGGCAGCTTTACATTTCTAGAAAGATCACAGGTAGTATAAAAACAGTGCATCTCTGGGGCCACTTTACTGTGCCAAGTCTGAGGGCAGCCAGTAGTGAGCATGGGGAATACAAATTCAAAAAGCAGCGGCAGAAGCAACACAATTCCAGCTCATCCTGAGCTGTCTTTTTGTGGTTCCTTTTCAAGAAAATGGAATGAGAATGTTTTTTTGGACAATGAGCTCTTGACGTCCAAGATCCTGTCTGTTCTCCGTCCGCATTCAGAGAGAGGTTTGAGAGCAGGCGATCTGCAGTGTACACCTCATTTTCTGAGTACCAATTCAATTTTTGCCTCTCTAGCCGCTTCTTTGAAGGAGCAGCCCCGAAGTCTTCTCCTGGGACCGGATGGCACCCCAGTACTATCACGGAATCTCGGTATGACTATCGCCCAAAGAGGAAATTCTCAGTCTTCATTGAATACTGCTGGAGCTGTTAATAAATTTGGGTAAGTAAACTGCTTCTCTTCTAATTCACTAGCTTCCCCCCTCCTCCCCCCCCAACGTGAAAAGAAAAACAATTATAGAACTAAAGCAAGAACTCACATTGCCTTTCAAGCTCAAAAGAGATTTATTGAGCTTTTAATGCTGAAATTCATTTCCCTGAACAGTAAGATATTATTTTTTTGTTTAAATCACCTTGTCTTTAGTCCCTCTGTACTATGTCATGAAAGATACCATATAAAATAGGCAGTATTTGACTATTTCTAGATTATGGTTTTCATGGGTATATTTGTTTTCAGACTTGGTGAAGCTCAGTAATCTCTGCTGAGTTCAGTTATTTTAGGTTGTGCTAGTTCTGACTAGCGTACGAGACAGCAGTGTTTTAAATTACAGGATACCTTGATTAAAATAGTAGACAAATTCAAAGCTATCTGCTGTTTTAAGTAGTTGATTACTTTTTATATGCCACAGCTATGCTCCCTTCTCAGTGAAGGTGCCCTTTGTACTCTGAACTGGCAATGGCTTGTCACCAGGTGATGTCTTTTTAAAATGTCATACCAGAAGTTGCACACTTGCTTGTGCTGCTCTAATTAAAACCGTAATATTTCAGTGATGGAGTTGCTAAATTGATTGGACTGTTTAAAGATGGAGTGCAGCAGTAGCTTTTATATATTTATTTTAAGTCAATTGCACTATAGTTTAGGAAAGAAGCTTGTTAAAGTCATTGGATTTTTTTGTTGTTGTTGTTGTCAAGCAACTTAAAAAAACGTTAATGTTCTGAATTTGTACCTTGGTCTAATTTCTTTGGCCATTTAGACTAATTTCAGGAGACATGGATGAAGGGGATTCAGGCTTTATAAAACTTAAGCAGACTGCAGATGATGTTGTCTCGCTTGCACCTTCAACAGCAGACTCCATTTTTCTGGAAGGTATGGAATTTTGTGCTTTTCAGGAGTTTTATGCAATTTCTTACACAGTCTTAAAGCAGCACTGAGATGTTTTTACTCTTGTAGTTGTTGTTAATGATGGTAATGAGGGATATGGTAGGAAACAATTTAATAATAATTGAAATTGAATGTGCTTTTGGTCTAGATGCATATTCTGTATCCCTCCGAAGTGAAATAGAAACAGATGCTCATGAGTTTGAGGCAGAGTCTTGGAGTCTTGCAGTGGAACAGTCTTATGCAAAAAGGCAAAAGAAAGATGTTGTAAAAAGGCAAGATGTCATTTACGGTAAGAGTATTTGTTGTTATTGTAATTTTTTCTATTTCATAGTGCCACTGTTTTGAAATAAAGCAGAAATAATTTTTCTTGGCTCCCGTTTTGATTTGTGCTTGAGAACGAAAATTGAGTTAAGATTTTCAAGTCTGTTACATGTCTTAGTGTGTGTAAGTCCTCCTATTAATGATTTCAAGCAACCCATAGTTTTCAGTATGCCTGTGTGAGTAGCAAAGCCCAGCTATACATTTAGGGAATAGCTCAACTACAACTGGGACACATGGATAAGTAAGTAGGGTCACTTACCATTTGGTTGGGAGATTAACAGGGAAAATTTAGCAGCTTCACATCAGTAATGCAAAGATTGTGGTGAAGAAGAAGATAGTGCAAAGATGGTGGCTTTCGGAGCCTGCTCTTTGATATCTCACTAGTCACTGTACAGCATATAAATGATTTGTGATTTGTGATTTTTTATTTTTATTTATTTCCTCTTGCCCAGAACTTATGCAGACTGAAATGCACCATGTTAGGACACTGAAAATAATGCTGAAGGTATACTCCAAAGCCATGAGAGAGGAACTGCAATTCCCAAATGTGGTCATCAACAAGCTCTTCCCCTGTGTGGATGAGCTGCTGGAGATGCATGGGCAATTTCTGCTACAGTTAAAAGAGCGACGAAAGGAATCCTTGGAAGAAGGCAGCGACCGAAATTATATAATCCAGAACATTGGAGACCTCTTGGTAAAACAGGTGTGAATTATATTCTACCAATGTTGTTGACACTATTAAATTTCAAAAAAGCTAGCTGTAAGGTTAAACTTATGTTATGTAAAGACTGATTTAATACTGGGTTTAAGATTCCCTTCCCAGTATAATGTGTGAGGATGGATCTCGGGAACATATGTGGCCACAAATAATACAAAATGTTCATTAAATGTTCTTTGGGCTTGTGCATATGCATGTTGTGGGATATGCAATTGCAGATGGTTTGGTTCTGTTTTTCATTTGTTCCAAAAGTAAAGTAACATATTCCTTCCTGGTGTCCATCTCAAACATGGCTGTCCTGCATTTAATGCCGAGCTTCTTGGTTCTGACCTTTTAAAAATGGAATAAAGATCTTTTTAACTCATTACAGCTTTAGCACCATTTCTGGTATGGAGTGGATGCAACAACTTCTTTCATATATCATCACCATTTTTTGCCCGTCGCCTTGTACAGTCCTCTGTCTTTTTAAGTGCAGAGCCCCGGAAATCCTTTTAAAACTTCTCATAATGACAACCATCATTTAATATTTGGTTGTCTTGTGGTATTCCAAGCTCTCAGATGTCACACTGCGTAAATCCCTCATTTCTGGTACAGAAGAAATGGAAATATTGAAGAAATGTCTCAGAAATCAGTTACCATAAAACCATGTTAAACCTGGGTCTTGCAGTGAAGGTAGGTTTACTCTTGATGATTCACGTCTTCATTCTTATCTTTCCAATTAGTTTTCAGGTGAAAATGGGGAGAGAATGAAAGAAAAATATGGTGTGTTCTGTTGTGGACATAATGAAGCTGTTAGTCACTACAAAGACCTGCTCCAAAGCAATAAGAAGTTCCAGAACTTAATAAAGGTAAACAACAACCAGAAGTCTCCCATTCTGACTGTGCAAAATATACTTGACCACTTTAGGTTTTATTTGTACTTGAAGATCTCTAAAACTTGAATGAGCAGGGTTAGAGGCATATTGTCATTATTTGACGGGTTGTTAGCTTCTTGTATTTTAGATGTTTTGAGCTGTTTGGACACAAAGCAGCAATTAGCAGGTGTTCAATTTGAGGCAGGCTCTTGAGAGAACATAGGACTGGGAAACAGAATATTTGTTCTATTCACGGCTCTGTCACTGACTGCCCTGCAGCAGCACCGTCTTTGTAAATTGGCTTGTTAATAAATTAAATCAGTGATAAATGCTATTGATGAACTACTATGGAAAAAGCAGGTACTCTTAGTCAAGTTTTGCCCACTACGTCATCTTTCCAAAACCAGAACATTGGCTTCAGGGTGGTTTGTTTATCTGCTGCGTGCTGTAATGTGCAATTAATAGGAAGGGCTGAAGAGAACAGGGCCAAAGGGGAAGCCTGTAACCTGAATCTTGGATGGCATTGCACGGTCTGAAGTATTCTCGTTTTCCAGTCATCAGTAAGTGATACTGTGTGAACTTTCCAGCATAGCTCTATACTTAAAACAGCTCTTCTTAACTAGGTGTCTTTAAAAGTGAGAACCCTTTACTTTCAAGGAACTAAATAAATGACCAGAGTAAATTTTTAAAATATATAGCCTCAGTCCTTGTAAGGAAAGATCTTGGTACTGTACCTGCTATCGGGATTGTTCTGGACCTGCAATCAGACTAACTAGTGGGATTCTGATGCTTTGCAGTCTTCCCTTTCTAAACAGAAATGTGTTTCTGCAAATCAGCCTACTGGTGAACATGCAGTGGTAAAATAAACACTTAGTTTATTCATTATTGACCTAATTTGGCTGTGAGGTGGTTGGGGTCTGGTTTTAGAAGTATATCACTCTTCTATGTATTTAAGCACTGATCGTATTATAAAAGGTAGTCAGTTAGCAAATAGGCAATCAGACAGTTCAGATTTGGAACTTTCTCTGCTTGGCTCCAGATTAACAACACTTGAAAATAATACCTAAAATATTTTTCTAGTAATAAAAGCAATTTTTTTATGTTATCAGGAGTTTTGCTTTAGTAAAAGAATGCTGTTAATTTTGTGGTACTACACATAATTGTACCAAAATGTTTTGAGACAGAAAATGTGAGAATGGAGAGGCGAGGGAGTTCGAAGAGCAATATATACCATGGATGTGATGAGTCTGTCTTGTTTTCTAGAAAATTGGCAACTATTCCATTGTGAGGAGACTTGGTGTTCAGGAGTGTATCCTTCTCGTTACACAGCGCATCACCAAATACCCGGTCTTGGTGGAACGTATTATTCAGAATACAGAAGGTAGGTCGTTTAATCTTTCCTAGAAGCCTTGCAGTTGTCTGCTGATCCTTTTTCTCCTGTGTCTTGCATGTTCTTTCCTCAGACAAGGAACAGGCTGGTACTGCCTTATACCCTCTCTCTTGCTTCTTTGTTAGCTGAAGATGCCATTCTAGATGCAGGTACAGATCAGTCTCACCTCATCAGAGGGTCAAGATCAGCGTTGAGTTTCAAGTGTGCCACCACAAAACCATAGTAGTTAAGCCTGTCAGTTCATTAGAGGTTTAGAGCTTTAGGATATTTTATTTTATTGTTAAACTTGAGCTCTTAGGAAATACTGTTAGATGTTCAATATGGAACCTTCATGTTAAAATATGTTGGGGTAGCTCATATCTTGCATTCCAGAGTTGAAAATGTGACTGACTGCTACTCTTTTCTCTTAGCTGGAACTAGAGATTATGAAGAGCTGACCCAGGCCCTTAGTTTAATTAAGGACACAATCACTCATGTAGATGCCATGGTAAATGAGTGCGAGAAAGGGCAGCGCCTTAAAGAGATTATGCATAAAATGGAGCTAAAATCATCTGGAAAATGCAAGAATGGGCTTTTCTTCCGCAAGGATGACATGGGACAGAGGCGGCTTCTGCTGGATGGGATGCTGTACTGGAAAGCTGCATCAGGGCGACTCAAAGGTAAAGGACCAGGAAGGGGAAGAGTACAACTAGGGAACAAGATTATTACTTATTTATATATATATTTTAGTAACTGTTTATTACTGATAGATTGAGTATAAAATAAGATGACAATAACCTGCTTGTTTAATAGGATATTGGAGGAAATAGCACTTGTTCTATTCTTAGCTTGTCCAATAAGCATCGCTATAATGGTGCGTGATAAGTTCCTTGTGCTGTTTGCTTGTTATCTGTCTGATCTGCTTTCCAATTCAAGAGGGAGGTCTTTAGATAGATGACAAAGCTTTGAGTCATACTGACTTAGTCTCCTGTGGAAAGGCATTATCTTGTGGGAGCTCTGCTTCACACTTCGAAAAATTGTGTCATGTCAACCCCATGACACCTCCATTCTGCACAATGTCTGTTTTGCCAGAAAATCAAAACAGTGTCCATCAGTGAATATTTTAACAGCTTCATTGCTCGAGTGTTCAAGGAGAAGCTTCAATGGCACATAAAGTGCAGCCAAGAGTAGGTGGTACTGTGAATGTCTGCAGTTCCGGAAGAATCTGCTGTTGAGGGAGACATGTTTCCTTGCGAGTGTTTGAGTCAATGTGTAGGATGCCTACGTAGGTGTTTCCAAGTTTTAAATCAGCTCTATTTGTATTGTGCTGGTTCTGCACGACTACAATCTGTCTGTGGACAGCCCAAGTGGAAGGCAGTAGCAGACCTAATATGGCAAATGTTGAGGTGCTATTCCCCAACCCACAGGAATTTTGAGTCAAGTAATTTTTTTAGTCTGGACCAGTCTTTCTGCTTTAAAATATTTTTTTTTTCCTTTCCTCTGTTTTTACTGTAGATATTCTGGCCGTCCTGTTAACTGATGTACTGTTGCTTTTACAAGAAAAGGACCAAAAGTACACGTTTGCATCAGTGGTAGGTATTGTTCTGCTTATTTAATACATTCACTTAGAATGTTTATGAAAGTGATGATAACTACAGAAGAAATACAGTTAGAGATGTTAAATACTTGCTATGGTGGGTTCAGGAGGAAAATTCAGTTTATAAATCAGCCGGCTGTTATAGAATCACTTTTTCTGAAGCAGTTCTGGTACTTGTTGAATCCCTTCTGCTGTCTCTTAGTGCAAAATAGGGTTCCCTTGCATCAGCCGCTTCTAGCTGCCACATCTCCTGTGCTTTTCTGATGCCCTGAGCATGTTCTGAGGTTCACTGCTTCTCCTATTCTTGTGCTGTGACTTTCCCTTTCCCTGAACTTTGTTAGGCTGATATTTTATACAAGTCATATGTGTTAAAGGTACGAGAACTGTGCTTTGAAAGGCGCTTGCAAGTAAGGTCTGCCTCTGTTTGTTAATGTGAAGGGAAAGAATCTTCCATTTCTGTTAGGGACGTGGTAGCGGTGGTCATAGTAGCCTAAGATTTACCAGGGGCAGAGAACTTTCCTGAAGTAAATGTAATAAGCACTAAATGCAAATGTAATTACTGCAGCACTCGGAACACTCAGTGGATTCGCTTGCTTTTCTAGGGCATTTCCACAGGTATCCTCAGAGCAGTTACTTGTGTACATTTTGTCCTGATCTAGTTCAGTTATGGCTATAAGAGAACCAGCAGCAGAGAAACTATTTTATGTAATTGTTTTCTTGGGTGTATTTTTTTCAAGACATTAACATTAGAGCTGAATTCTAATGGCAAAAGCTATTTTGGTGACCTCAGGGCTGTAAAAGCAACTGCTTTTTAAATTACACTTCTAATGCACAGAATGGGGATACGTCTCAAAATCAGGATGTCTGGAAGTTGTTTCCTCTTGAACAGCATTAGGTGAATCTTTCAACAATAGTTCATGTTATAACATTGACTCTGAGAGACTAATTCTGCTCTGTTTTCCAAAACGTATCTGAGCTATGAGCGGAAGGGCAAGTTCATAGAGGGGGAGAAAAACATACTGTTGATGTACAGTGTCTCAACTGTTGTGGCAGTTTTCCATATAACTGCTGTTGCTTTGAGATAAGTGTGAGTAGTTTACATCGGGGCTAAAGCATTGTTCACAAGAAATAAGAGCATGCGTACATGTTCTTAGTTAGTGTAGCTGTTCCACTGCAAGGTCATGCCCTGGTTTATGTCCCCTAATAACTTTACTGTGAGCGTGTATCATACAGTTCCTTATGACAGTCTGCAAAAGCTGATCTCTGATACATGGTGGATTTTTCCCCTCCAGTAACATGCTCTGCAGTTGCAGACTGATCACTTTTTTGCATTTTGGGTGTATACAGTTTATTTGAAATTTACATATCGCTTCTCCATAGATAAATCAAGCAAGTGAGAGGAGCAAATGGATCTGCTCAGTGATTCTGTTTTTCCAGTGACCTCTGTTCGTGGCTTGAATTGCAGTATGGCTGCTGAGAGAAGTTGGCAAAGCCTAGTGTTCCTGAT